CATAAACATCTAGGTTGCTCTCAAGTACGTTACAGCGCTACAGTATCGTAGTCCGTGCAAAAAATTAAGTCGGAACAATATCATATTATTTAGGTACGTGAAAACATGCTCCACCATTTGCGAACGTATTTCAGTCTCTGTACGTGTGTAATAAAAATTGTCTACATCAGTTTAGAACATGATTGAAACGCTATGCCATATTTCAGGTGTGCTATTGAGTTGTTTCATACTTGGCACCGGATTCCATCTCATATCTGAGCATTCGCCTCCATCAGCTACTAATGCTTCAACTTTTCATCCTTACAGTTTTGGCGAATCCAGCGAGTGTTATGGTCTAGGGTATGAGTGAATAGCAAGACCGTATTTGACGCATAAAACTAAAATATGCTTACAGTTGTGATGCCTGCAGCTACATGGTTGAATGCGGGTTCTGCATTGCGAACGAAGCTACGTCAGGCCTCTGCATGCCAGTGTACAACAACGAAACAACCGGAACTTTGCTGTCCTATGCATCATCCGGAAGTTGCGCTCCAAACGTTTCCCTGCCAGAGATCGACAATCAGTACCAACCCGTGGACCCTACAGCCTCGTTCGACTACGGATTTTGCATCACTGAATATTCGTGGCTTCCGATCATGGGAATGGTTTTGTATTTATGCAGTTTTTCAGTTGGTATGCCGAAATAGTGCAATGAACCCCATCTCATTTTAAAATTTAGGCCTTGGACCGATCCCGTGGACGGTAAATGCGTAAGTAGCTGTAGAAAATTTTTGTCAGTCCATTTAATCATTTACATATTTAGGGAAATTTATCCAAATTGGGCGAGGAGCGTAGGAAACTCTGCGTCAACCTGTGTCAATTGGCTGTGCAACATCATAGTCTCTTTTACTTTTCTGACGATGAGTCGTGCCATAACACGCCAAGGTATGCAAAGCGCAGGCGATGTCATTCAAAGCCCACACTTGCTACAATATAATACCTGAGGTATTTCAGGGGCGTTTTTCCTCTACGGCTGCATTTGCTGCATTGGAATCATTTCTTTTTACTTACTGGTCCCAGAAACTAAGGGACTGCGTATGGAAGACATTCAAAGTGTTCTACGGTCATCCTGGATAGTTCCAAAGATAAAGTAAGGGCTTATAATTTGCGCGTCAATTCAATCAGTTGGTCGGTCGGTCGGTCGGTCGGTCGGTCGGTCATGTAAGTCTATCTATATGTACTTAACATGGAGTAGTCAGACGCGTTTTATATATCCCGATTGGTATGAACCGCTCACCGTTCTTGGCCAGTTCAGTCTGTTATTCTTTGTAGGAAACGTAAGAAAAAACTACGTTCCACGGTATATACGGTCGACCTTGCTCCAGCTGTTAAAGATGCTTATACTGATGACTCTCAGAATTTGGTGATAATGACGAGATTCTGATGTTTTGTGAATATGTTGTACATATTTTTGTAAGTTTCTTATTTGTGAATAGGTTTTGCTGTCTTCCTGTGCGAAATCAGTGACCTCAGTAGTAAGCGAAGTGAATCATTGCCAAATATATACCTTATAAGCAAAATGCCCTATTAGGTAATGCAGCTCGAGTACGTAACTTGCAAATCATTCAATCAATGTTGATGAACAGCAGCAAATATTTTCCCCTTCATTTTTTCATCAAACGACTGATTGAGGGCACTTTCCAAAACTTTATGCAGCTTTGTTGTGTCAGCAATCAGTTTGTAGAGACAGCATTTAGCAGCATATTGGTTTATGGTTTGTGGTTGTGTCGCCACCTAAGGTTAGCTGAGCTCAGATGGTAGAGTAACAGGAATTTTCGAAGTCAGACTCGGCTATCCACCCACCACTTGCCTCAAGGCGAGTCCTTGAATTTCCATCTTAGACGGTGATACACGCTATTGCGTTGCCTGATTTTTATGCGACTAATAGATTACCACGCATTCCACAGTAAACCGATGTTCTATTGACGGATCGTGGGATCTTGGATTGGTTGTTTGTGTGGAACAGTTGTTGTGTTCAATAGTATTCACCGGCTTTCGTCGGCGTTGGACATGTGGTTCAGTGGAAGATAATCGGAGTCCAGACCATACGGAATGCTTGGCGTGGTAGTAATAATAATAATAATGATTAT